TTTTTTTTTTTTTTTCAATTAATCTACATACCTATTCCTTTAGTCTTTTTTCAATCTCAGCTTTTAGGTTTAATATTTTAAATATATTATTATGATTTCTTTTTGCCTTTTATTTATTTTATTATTAATAAAAATTAAACACCTACTCCATTCAACGATAAAAGTATTTTAATCCATCTTCTTCTTTATTTGTGAAGTTTAACGGCGGTCGGCAAACAATTTGAAAGTCCATTATTAGTCCATTATAAAGTCCTTGGGCAGAACACCGCCACCTACCATGTATTTGATCCAAAACAGTAACTGGGGGACTACTTTTTGAGCGGATGAATACCATTTGATGGGCGCATTGACAGTATAAAATCCCCCGTCCTCGTAGCGGCAGAAGCAGTCAGAGAGCGGTATTCGCCATCTTACTTCTTTACAAAACAATAGAAAGCAACTGTAAGTACGGTTTGTTTTAAATTATTTTCTTTTTCTATATCGTGTTGTTCTTTATCAATGTCTACGTATTTACATTGAATTAATTTGTTAATAATTTTTTGATGTATATTTGTTCTGGGTCGGTTTTTTTTTTTTAAAGCGATCTGGTTTTTACCGGAAATTGTATGGCAGTTAGCATTCTAGAAAGAGAAAATCCCGGCAATTTGGTCGCCAGTTTCTTTTATATATTTTTGAACGAGTAATGCCGTCAAACACGGTTAATGGCGTTGTTGGGAAATGGCCAGACTTCATTTCTGGCGGTGTCATACATACGTGTGAAAGCAGGAAGGCAAACAATGGCTTTTCCAAAATGGCGTTGTTTCTTAAATACCCGCCCTGCTGCTAGTCGTTTCGCTTAGAACGCTTATGTTATATTTCTGTTTCCAGAGATTTTATTTGCTCATCGCGCTACCGCCATAACGTTATCGAAAGACACTTTTACACAAATCTACCTTTCTTCTGCCTGCGTTCTCTAAAATGCCGTTGGTACCATTTAATCATTGTTTGTGTTTTTTTTATAGCCAAAAAACATGCAGATCTTTGTGAAGACCCTCACCGGTAAGACCATCACCCTTGAGGTGGAGCCAAGCGACACCATCGAGAACGTCAAGGCTAAGATCCAGGATAAGGAGGGCATCCCCCCTGACCAGCAGAGGCTGATCTTTGCTGGCAAGCAGCTGGAAGATGGCCGCACCCTGTCCGACTACAACATCCAGAAGGAGTCCACCCTCCACCTGGTCCTTCGTCTCAGGGGTGGCCAGTGAATCATACCATGATTTTACTGCTTTAACATGACAAATGCACCTAATAAAGTGAGATCACATTAAATTGGAGTTTTGTCTGATTTTCTTTTAGAATACATTTTGACACTTGCAGATTTAGTCATGCATAATATGTTCAGCTGCTGTATTGAACTCTAAATTGGCTATAAGCCACCAGGTGGCACTCTCTCATCAGTAACTTAAGGCATCTGGTCAGGAGCTTTTGAAATGAAGAATCCTTCTCTAAAGTTGTTTTTACACTGCAATTCCAGTAAAACTTTCCTGTTAACATTGCACTTTGATAAAGGATTCAGTCTTAACGATTCTAGTCTGCATCCATAATGTTCGAAGCTGAGCCCAAAACTGGATCTGGCATCTATGAGAAGTCTTTAGGCTGCCACTTAAAGCATTAAGGGTTGTCAAGTTTACTGAGGATTGGCAGTGATGATAAAATCTTAATTTAGCTAATTTATTTTGGAAATCTCAAGACTAGGATTTTTTTTTTTTTTCCCCTTTCCTAAGGGGGAAACCATGACAGCTGACCTGCAACAATTACAACCACCTACTCAAAAGTTGTCAGTATGGGGTTTCTTTTACTGTTGGGATGACCTCAAACTTTTAGTTTAGGTGGAGCCATCTTTGAGTTTTTGAAACGAGTTGATCTCAAAGCTTGTATCTAAATTTAAACAATTTTAACCGAACATTCGATCTAGAACATTCAATAAGATGAAGCTTTCATGGACAGCAGCCTAATTGGTTTATGCCTTTGGAAAGTGGTACAAAATCAAATGTACTTTCTACTCCACTAAATTTCTAATAAGCTAGCTGTTCCTTTTGGCTCAGCTTAGATTTGTAATCCACTGTTGCCAATTTTCTTTGAGATCCAGTTTGATCATTCAAGATAGCAGCCCTTAGGACTGAATTTGGACACCACATTTTTACAGATTTATCTTCAAATGTGAGACACTCAGGGCAGATATTTGTACTTTACATTTAAAGGTGTTATCTTTTGCAATGTGGCCAAGTGCAATAAGATGAGTTTTCAAATTAGAGTGACCTTTTAGATTCAACCTTAAACCTGTATTTCATAGTGACAGTGTGAGGAGAACCCCTATTTTTGGTAATTTTTTGTTTAATTTTCAGAATTATTTTTCCTTTTTTTGGGGGCAATTTTATACAGAAGTTTTTAAGTGTTGTAGAATTTGTAGCAGGTGATTCTATGCATCAACATATCAGGTGGTTTCTGAAAGTCTGAAAATTATACAGAAATATACTGAGATAACATTTAATTTCTATTTTTAATGCTTAAATACTTTAAAATGCATGCACTTTTGAATACTTAAGCATTATAAAAATGTTGTCCTTTAATACTTTGATGTTTGACTAAGTAACTTGTACTTGTAGAATAAGATTTGTCTGAGTATCAACACCTGGCAAGGAATACTGTTGAGCACTTGGTCCACTGCTGGCACTTTGGCAAAGAAGGACAAATGATCTAAAGCACCCAGTGTTCAATTATAAAAGAGCAAAAGAAGGTTTTAGAAAGGCCTTATTAAAAGTCTGCTTTTAATTCAGATTTCAATGCCATAAGCCTACGAGTCATTGCTAAATCATGTGTCCTTTTATAATAAATATTGTCCAGGAGTTCAATTCATGCATGACAAAAATACGTTAAACTAGAAAAGAGCACAGACCTCTGCTAAGCAGAAAGTTTTGCCCCATATCGTTACTTACACCTATTGCTAAAACTTGCTTATGATCTGGATAATTATGAAATTTTAATGAATTGTTCCTTGGCATTAGGCACACATCTGCTAAAAATTTCTTTAAAATCCTTTAATAAGTTCAGGAATAAGGTACTGCATGTGCCTGCAGGCTTTGCGCTCTTCTTCATTCACTCTGCATCCAACTCTCTTCTTCAGTAGGTCCAGACTGCATGGCTCACCTTTCCTGGTTTTTTTTTTCTTCTTGTTTTCATTATATCTCTGGACTTTTGGGTCCTATGATGCAGCTGTCAAAGGTCACTGATGCCTCCCTCTGGTTGTGTGGGGAACTGCTACATGTATGTTAAAGAATCCTTTAGAAAATTCTTGCATCCAGATAGTGATCCAGGTCACCACCAAAATTCAATAGAATTGTCATAGGACTGAGGTGCACCTTTGGTTAAAATTTCATTAAAATCCGTTCATACCTTTTCAAGGTGTGCTGAACACAGACAGACAAACAACATAACCTCCAGTTATGGACTACGGGAGGAGGCCGGAGTACCCAGAGAGAACCCACACATGCATACGGAGAACATGCAAACTCCATGAAGAAAGAAACTGGGCCGGGCTTCAACCTATTTTTGTCCAAAAATAAATTGGACAAAAATAAGTTGACAAGCAATGAGGCAAGTTAAAGAAAAACTATTATGCTTAAACCTTAATTGAAAATCCTAAATGGGGTGATGGACAATAATGTCTCGCTCACAGATGTACTAAATTATTTTATAATTGATCATAAGGACATTAAAGACATGCATAATGTGGCTAATGAGCTAAAATCTTATTTTGTTAATGTTGCACCAAACCTTGCTCGTTTTATTACTAAACATGATACTGAAAAAAAAGAAAATAAAGCAAGATATTTCAGTATATTAAGGAGCAGTTAGGGAAAATGAAATTAGAAGAATTTTGGTAAATACCAAGAATAGGAAATCAACCGATAGTGACCAGATTGATACTGTATGATGTTAAAACTGTAGACAGTGTAGTTCAAACTTTGTGTTGTTTATTTAATCTTTCTGTCAGCACTGGTACTTTTTATAACAGGATGAAATCTGGAAAGGTAACTCAACTTTTTTAATGGGGTAATTAGCATAAATTAATAATTACTGGTATCATTGCTCTCACAGTTTTCCAAACTGCTTGAGATATTGTTCTCTAAGGAACTAGAGGAATTTATTGAAAAAAAAAAAATCAACTTGTGTGAGAGTCAGCATGGCTTTCAGACCAATAAATCTACCATCATAGCATTATAGAATAAATAACAACAGCATAAAATAAAATAAAATATCCAGTCTGTGTTTTTATCTCTTTAAAGAAGGCATTTCATACCACACCGCATATACACAGTTAGGACATCGTGATTCTGATATTAAGATTTATAAAATGAAATTCCACAAGGTTCTATTTTGGGTCTAAATCATTTTATTTTATACATTAATCATATTTCTAAATGACTGCATCTCATTTTGTTTGCTGATGATACCTCTTTTTTGGTTCAAGGGATGATTTATAAACAGAAAGCCTTACAATAAAATGATTAAATGTAAAAGATGGTTTGATTATAGTAAGTAATCTCTTAATAAAAAAAAAAAAAGTTTAATGTTTTTTGTATTAGAACTTACGAAATTGCGTTTTGTTTTCATGACATAAACATTAAACAATTGCATGAAGTTTCTTGGGTGTCATATTCAATGATACTTTAACATTTGTTGTGTTTAATGATACAATTATAATGATAAAACATATTGTACCAATTGTTACTGTGTAAACCATGAACGAAATAAAGATAATCAATCAAATCAAAATGTTAAGCAGAGGTACAGGTGTACATCTGATAACCCCCCTTAACAGCCAAAATATAAAAAAAATGTTACCATAAGGGAGCCAGTTTTTTTTTTCCACATCTGGCACACACTGGAAAAATTTAAAATCTAGATTTATTAATTTTTTTCTTAAAATAAGTGCATTTGTTCTTGGGTAAAAGAGACATTTTGTCAATGGAACAAGACAATTTACATTTAAAAAAAGAAAACTCAATTGCATTGTCTTATTTCAAGTGCATATTATCAAATTATCTTATCTTAAGAGTGAAAATATTCATTCCATTGACAAACTATCTCATTTACCTACTCAAATCAAGGGTAAAGACACCTAATTTAAGATTTTTTTTTTTTACTTATTTCTAGAGCGTTTTTCCAGTGCATGAAAAGTTCTCACAGATGCTGTTTTTTTTAGTTCTTGACATTAAGCTGTAACGGGGCTTAGGTCACTATTACATATTGATAGGTTTGTGTTCTTCATAAGTAAAATTGACATAATATATTTTTGTCTGGTGATAAAATTTTTTTGGTGATCTGAAATATCCATCCATTTTCCGTCATGCTCATGTCTGCTGGGATCTCCAGCTGTCAAAAGGCGGGATACACCATGGACTACGGGAGGAGGCCGGAGTACCCAGAGAGAACCCACACATGCACAGGGAGAACATGCAAACTCCATGAAGAAAGACACCGGGCTGGGAATCAAACCTTATTGATGCAAGGCAGCAGTACTACCTACCGAACCACTCTGCAGCCTGATCTTAAATATATGAAACAAAAAAACATAAGTAATGTGTCATCAGGCATATTTCCTATACTTTCTGGAACAATATCTTTGGGCAGATGAGACTTAAGTTGAGACATTTAACTAAAGTCTGAGGGTTTGAAATGCAAAGCAGATCAGTGCAAGACTTTTTCAAATATGGTGGAGTCATTGTTTGGGATACAAACCCACAACAGAGCGCTTATGAGATTAAGAATAGACACAGTATACATAACAAAGACACATGAATATGTCAGCCTGGACCAAAATCCAGTAAACATTTAGTTGAAAGACATTTCAACAAAGAGATGATTACTCTTGGCCTTTGACGCTGGAAAACTTTTTTTTATTTATTCTGTAAATGTTTTTCAAAGTTATTACTTTTCAAAATCTTGCATCAGATTTTTTTTTACATTTTAGCAATATGATATAACTAATATAACTAGCATAAATTTAACCATTATTCTTTGATATTTGGAGTTAAACAACCAAACTTCCCACAACCTACAGGAAGTGTCAGAGTTGCTCAGTGAAGACAATTATCTGTATGCACTAATTTGATATTCTATTGCTAAATGTTGAAAAGGATAAGAAAAGTTTCAGAAACAGAATATTTTACTAATTTACTGCACATTTATCCCAGTTTGTTCATGGATCCGAAAATACTAGACCTCACAACCTACTGCTACGTAAAGAAAACGTACAGATCTTTCCACTGATCAGTAATCAAAGGGAGTGTTTGAACATCTGTCAGTGGGGTTTGTTCTCAGTCATTGTCCTTAATTAAATGTCTTCTAATTTCTATGCTTCCTATTTTCACTGAGGTCAAATATTTAGACTTAATGCATGTGAAACTTTTATGTTATACAGTCAAATTGCAGCTTTTTTTTACCCAGCTATCACTGTGTTTCCAATACCCTTCATCTAATGTAACTAATCACACAACTATTATGTATTCCTTTTACACACATGGCTCTTATTCTCTAAATGAATGCAACACTAACATAAAAAAATAAAACAAATATCTCTTTAAACCATCCGAAGGTGTGGTTGGGGTCACATCCACTCTCTATAACTTTTACATAAATCCTAATACAATCTTAATTCTAACAAGTTTATTCATAGAGCTCACTTCAGTAGCAAGACAGTTCAAAGTGCTGTACATGGAAAAACATAACAGGAAAAAACACAGAGTAGAGTACATTGCAGTGGCATAGAGGTCATTAAATTATTAATGAATAAGAGAATAAAAATGAATAACTAAAACAATGAGAAAATTAAACAGAATATTAATAATATGACTGATAATAACTTGAAAGAAAGTTGGACCAGGAACTTAAACTAATAATGTGTTAGGAGGGTCAAAGGTCACACGCCTTATAGTCAAAGGCAAATTAAACTAATATGTTTATGATCTGAATTTAAAGCAGGTTAAGGTTTAAATGGCTGGGTGGTTCTACACAGGGGCCAACAGGAAGCAGCGTCCCTGTAGGACTGTTCTGGTCCCTGTTGTGCTGAAAGCATACACTAAAGCCATAAAACGACAATAAACAAAACATAAGCATAAAGATAGAGAGTTAAAAACCCATTTATTTTGAACTGGTTTTGACTGTTAAAAAATATATATATAATTGAACTTTATAGATCTCACATTGTAGAAATGCAGCTCTGCATTTAACCCATCCCCTTGGTGAGCAGTGGGCTGCCATTGTGGGGCGCCCGGGGAGCAGTGTGGGGTTAACGGTCTTGCTTAAAGAACCAGAGTGGCAGTCTGAGGGGCTCAAACTTAGAACCTTCCAGGCTCTATGCCCTAACCACTAGGCTGCAAGTTGTGTTCCAAAAGTTTTATTTGTTTTACTATACCTGCTTTTATCATATTTTCATCTTTACCTCTTATATTCTGCTTTTATTTATCTTCTACTGTATTGTTTAATTCATATAAAGCATTTTAAATTGTCTTTGCACTGAGTGGTGCTATACAAATAAACTTGCCTTGCCTTACCTTAACAGACAATTAAACTATAAGTACAAATTGTTTTAAAAAAGGCCAATTTTCCTCGACTAGACCAGGTAAGACTATTTACTAAGATGATAGAAAATACAACTCTATTAAATTATTTTAAGTGTTATGGTTTGAAACATGTAATTATCTTATTTTAAGAGCAAGAATACAAACTCCTTTGACAGATTATCGTATTTAGCAGCTCGCTTGAAGGGCAAATAGCCGAAACTTGAATTTAATCCATGTTTGGAAGATAGA